ACGGGTGGTGGCCCTACAGCTTCCTCACGATGGAGACGCCAGTCGCGCCGCTCTGGTACATTGGCGTCTTTGTCGGTCATTTTGCCATGTATGGCGCCGCGTACGGCATCTCGCTGCTCAAGGCCAAGCTGCTCCCGTCGTACTGCCCCGTCTTGGAGAAGAACGCGCTTCCGATTGTGGCCACGGTCCAAGGCATGACGATCGTGTAGCCTTTTCTCATGCATTTCTTTTTGCCGATTGTTTGCCTTTTTGTAATTGGCCCGGACTTTTTTAGAAGCGCCAATCAATGCGTTGGATTCAACGATAAGATCGTAGTGCAATGTCGAGCACGGTTGGCTTTGGATGCGACTCTGGACGTGGGAAAAGCAGGTACGGTATGAGCACAAATGCAAAGAAATGGATATATCGAAGCTGTGTGCATATGGATGTCTACACTCGAGCTAGTGGGGATGTACGGCGCATGAACAGGGGGTTGATAGCACACACTGATCAGCAAAAGTCGGAACTGTGCCATCACGACGGTGGCCGCAGCTGCCTTATTGTTTGGCATATACGCTGTTGATGGTTGCTGGTCCACCACTTAAGCCGCATCCTTTCCACTTGTCGCAAAGAGCGCTATCAGCGTACCCTTCAAATTCCCAAGTGCAATCAGCTTTTGCGATCACAACTCCACGAGCTATCTCCAGGTCGTTGGAGTGCGGGGGCCCAGTGAGTGCTGGAAGCGCTATCAGTACGAGGTCGTCTCGTCGATAAATTGTTGACATGTTGAGCATGGTTTTATTGGGGCGACTTTCATTTTTCAAAGCATTGTAGCGCGCTCATGTGGGTCCAGATCACGATTGCGTCCATTGTTGCAGCCTCGTACCTCAGCACGGGGCTTGTCTTGCACCGCGCGCATCAGCACGGTCTTGAAGCGGACGTTGCGACGCTGACGTTTACTTCGCGTGGGCGCTACTACCTGCAGCTCGCCTTGCGCCTTTTGGTGGTGACGCTCTTTTGTATCATTTTGGTCATTGACGCGCAAGAGTATGGCACGACGGCTTTGTCGTACTACACGATCTGGAATTTTGCGCTCCAGACCGTCTACCACGCCCTTGCCGCCGGCTTTCTCTTGAGTCATTGGCGTGCGCGTGACGGCGCTTCGGTCGTTGTCAAGTCGCGTCCCCTCAACTCGCTCTTTGACATTTGCTTGACCAACAGCCTCCTCGTTGCTGTGGTGTTTTGGACCGAGCTCTACTACCCGACAATGCCGTGGTACAGCTATGTTCAGCACGGTGTCAACACGGTGCTCTTTGTACTCGAGCTCTTTCTGGGCGACTTTGACGTGCAGTCGGAAGACTTCAAGTACGCGGGGATGTCGCCCACGATCTACACGACGTTCATTTGGATCAGCCACGACACGTGGCTGCACGGGTGGTGGCCCTAC